GGGAATAGCAGAGACAGGATTCAACTCAGGTTTAGCTCCCTTTTTCCCACCGCAGGAGATGGTATCACAGTGACCACTCAAGCAGACATCTGGGAGACACCCTTGATGCCAACCTTAACGTCAGTCCATCAGCAGATCCATCACTCTACCTTCAAATATGACTTTATCCACTTCTCACTGTCTCTACCCACCCCACCCTAAACTAAGCCACCTCTTTCCTGGAAAAGCTCCAACAACCTCCTCAGCAATCTGTCTCATGTTGCTTACCTCCCTTAAGCCCATTTTCCACACTGAAACCAGAGGGGGTCACCCCCTTTAAAGCTCTTTAAGTCTTCCTGTTGCTCTTAGAGTAAAAGCAAACTCCCTCCTAACAACTACAGGGACCTGCGCAGTCTCCCTTTTACTCATTATTCTAGCTTCACGTCATATGGGTGGACTACTTATCCTGATTGCAATGAACCTTCAGTTTTAGGGCCGTTGCTTGCATCGGCCTCTCCGGGGCCCTGGGAGAAACACAGCAATGTATTCCACTGGGTTTATGTTTTTGTAAATATTGCAGAAATAAGATATTTAACTGTAATCCTTTAAGAATGACGTCTCTTTCAACTGCAACTCTCCTGCTATCATATTATGTTGAGGCAATGGAGTAAGTATCTGGAGGATGCTGCTAAGGCAGAGCTGAGTTAGGTGTACACTTAATTTAGATTCAGAGGTGTTATGGACTGAATATTTGTGTCCCCCCATATTAGTGTGTTGAAATCCTAACCCCCAAGGTGATGCTATTGGGAGGTGGGAGCTTTGGGAGATAATTAGGTCATGAGGGCTCCACCCTTATGAGATACTAATATGGAATTAGTGCCCTTATAAAAGACGCCCTAGAGATCTCCCTCAACCCTTCTGCCATGTGAGGACACAGCGAGAAGACAGTTATCTATGAACCAGGAAGCAGGTTCTCACCAGACACCAAATTTGCTGGCACCTTGATCTTGGACTTCCCAGCCTCCAGAAATGAATGTTGTTTAGCCACCCTGTCCATGGTAGTTTGTTACAGCATCCTGAACAAAGACAAGAAGGATCTATTTATATGGTTCACAGTCACTTTCATCTATAGTTATGTCATTGCTGTCCATCTCACTGTAGGAATGGCTTCCAGGAATACTCCTATTGTCCACTGTGCTGACTCACGCTGCACAGTGACAGGAAGGTGCGGGGCCACACATTGTACTAGGGCCCGGCATTAGGTTAGGGGTTGTACAAAGTGGGTGGGAAACAAGATTTGAAACATACACTGCCAGAGCTAGTCTACAGAAAATTCTGCTGAGCATCAGACATATTAAACTATAATGCAGAGGACCTGGTTCTCAGCAAAGCCTAGCTCAAAGCAGAAGTGTATTTGGCAGTGCAGCCGATACAATTATAAACATACTGTATGCTTTTTCTTCCTTTCTAATAGGAATTGCACAAACTAGAAGATATGAGTCCCATGTTTGTAGGGCATGTGGCAAACCGGAAACAGCTAGTATGTCCATGTGGGAATTTGAGTGTTTTATGATCTCATTGTGTTGGATCACGTCTTACTTAACATTTCTGCCCTAGCAATGACTTACAGATGAAATGGCCCGTAGGTCACAACAAAAATAGCACAGTAGGCTCACCCTATTCACAGATTCTGCATCTGTGGATTTAACTAACCTCAGCAAAAATATTTGAAAAAATATTCCAGAAATTTCCCCAAAGCAAAACTTAAACTTGCCACACACCAGCAACTATTTACATAGTATTTACATTTTATTTACAAGTACTTACATTGTATTAGGTATTATAAGTAATCTAGAGATGATTTAAAGTGGGGGGGGGATGTGCGTAGATTATATGCAAATACTACATAATTTTACATAAGGGACTTGAGCATCCGTGGATTTTGGTTATCTGCGGGGTACGGGCTAGGGGGTGTCCTAGAACCAATTGTCCGCAGATACCAAGGGACAACTGTAATTCATTAAGAGGAATAGATACATTTAAAATCAAAGTAATGAATAGACTCATGGATTGTTTGATAATCTAATCAAAAGGTGTGAATTATACAAATACATTGTGGAAAGATTCAAATTTCTCACTTATTTGACATGAAATATTGACATAGATAAAGATAATGTAGAATTCATATTATGCCACCACATGGGGATGCTGACAATAAAACTAGTTAATGTGCTGTCAACTCAAGAAGTATTTAAACTTGGTTACCATATAAGCAAATTATAGCTTATATATGAAAGAAATTAAGAGGTTTTCTCAAATCAGATTTATAATAAGCCTAGGAATTTACATGGCATTAAGCTTTACAAAGTCAAGAAACTTGTTTAAGCTATCCACCCAAAAATGTTAACCATGCTTATAAAGACTAAGTTATCCTCTTTATAATTTTATTGATAGACAACAGGA